GATGACCGGTGTACGATTTTCAAATATATTCTCGTGTGATCACACAGCATCAGGGTAACCGATTTCTATGTATTCATAAAAGTTTCGCACGTTAACCTTCAAAGCGGTCCGGTGTTGTTATAAATGCACCGATTATTCGGAGTCCGCTTCCTCAGTTGTGAATAGCACTTGATATTCAGAATACAAGGTTAAGTGGAAAGGGTATCAGTTCGCCTTATTTGTTCAAAGTTACTCATATCAATTATTCGCGTTCGGGTTAAGCAAGATTGGCAAAAGCAGCACGTGAGCAACAGTAGGTTAGATTGACAAGAACTAAACACAAAAAAGCAGAGACTAGAACCTATGGCGCTGAACTTGCAACCTAGTGTAAATATCAGCAGGTTCTTTGGAACACTCTAAAGGACGCCTCGAAATTCACCACAACTGGCAGTTATATCAATTGCTGTCTACCACAAGCAGTTACAACGCAATAAAAAATAGTATGTACGAGGTTGATTAACCGTTAAAAAGCTGTTCAACAGTAACTGGGACGTGACCCAAAGGCTGGATGCAATGGGATATCAAACATAAATAAGTGGAGATAAAATAAGCACAATAAGAAAGATAAACATGAACTAACCGCACAAAAAATGATTGCCTGTCCCACATCGAAGTCACCATAAATGTCCTTCAGAGCCTCATACTTTTCCATCCAATCGCTGAAAAGCACATAGTATTGCTTTATGTTTTTCAAAGGTAATTGAGTACGTTTAACTCGTATCTCAATCGGATTAGGAACCAGTTCTCGGGCGAATTCCATCACACTATCACCGTATGTGGCTGAGAACAGGAGGATTTGACAACTTGGAGACAATTTGCTAAACGAAAAAACAAAATTCATTAAACACTAAGTAAAAACAACGTGTGAAAAAATGGGCAATCAGTTCACGCCACAAGAAAAGATTTTAAAATAAAAAACAATAAGACCAACATAAGGAGGCATTGATTCATTGAGCATGCGCACAAGTAATGACCAGAGGGAAAAGCAACGTCAACTTTGTGATATATATATACCAGACTTCTGAAACTCTGTGCCCAAAAGAATGATGAATGGTCTCTAGCTCTTGTGCACACTAATTGTACAGAAGGATGCGTACTAACAAAATTATCGCTACGGTCAAATGCTTTTGATGCTAGACACTTTGATCCACTTATCACTGGACCACGTTGTCGCTCAAGAAGATGGCGCCACTATATAAAAAAAGCATTCAGATGAGTCGATATGGTATTATTTCGAATGCCGATATTCTTTGAAATAGACACTGAATGGCGGTAAAACGATAATTGATTAACTGTTTGTTCACGGAAAATACAGTTATGCAAATAGACTAGTTTTGAATTAACAATAATCAAGCTAACAACGATACACTGTTCCGATCAAATTGATGGCTGATAAGTAGTATGAATTTTGTGGGGGTACAAACTGAAAGTCATTCAGGACTGAATGCGGCCTTCGAATTTACAAAGACTTTCGAAGAGAAGCATTAAACTCGAGTTTCGCCAGTCACTGAAGCATATCAGAACTTGAGCTGCGTGTTCACTACTGCACTACTGAGGTCACATAAGGTCCATCCGAATTACAGTATCTGAACACTCAACCACATTTGCTTATAAATTTGAAAGTTGTGAGCAGTTGTGAGTGCAGTTCAATGCATTTCAATAAAAATATTCAATCACGTAATGGTAGTCGAAATATCTCACGGCAAGGTTAATATCCCTGTTTAAACCTAAACGGAATACATATTGCTAGTGCGGATGGAAAACATTTACTTCAGATTGTCAGTTTGCAATGACTGCTGCTAGAAGGGCTCGAAATGAGGTTTGCAGTGCCTCCTGATGCTCACTCTCAAACCGACAATCAACAACCAGTATCGTTCTTGTCTGGACTAAACGTAAAGTCATCGATTGGAATACACAGGACAGTTACTGTCCCTCCAAAGGCGATCGGACAATTGCAGCATTATTCACACACAAATGTGACTGAGCGTTTGTACGTGGCGTAATGAGGTCGTGCGTACTGCCAGGTCACAGGTGCAGCGGTCAAAACAGATGCCTAATGAAAGCGTCATGGGTTCATACTGAATGTCCTGTACAAGCGAATCCTGTCAGCACCGAAAGTGATCACAGCCCGACAATCAGCTTCCCCTGGATAGATAACATACATTCCATAGACATTTACTGAGTGAATAAATAAACTTGTTGATGACCAACGTCATTCTACTGCCGAACCTGGCGGGGTTGTAGTGGTTCACTCATAGGTTCGGAGAGTGGTAAGCTTTCTGAATGCGTACAGTGAGTATCACTTCCACAGTTTGTGCGAGAGACAAAATAACCATTCGTTTTCTATACGAAAAGCCATAGACCGATATTGAATAGTAACCAACCGGATAGTAAGACAAACAGACACCGTGTGTAACTGACTGCCTGCGTTTACGGCAGTGCATGTACGACATTTTCTTGCTTCAACCTTCGCCGGCCAAAGGTTTTGCGTTTACATCTGTTGTGTTTACATTCGTATCAATGGATACATAGTGACAGCTGCAAAGACTTCTGCTACCTGAGTAACACTCTGTCGATAGACCTGTTCGTGGACAGTGAGCTCACAGCACGTGTGATGAAGGAAAGCACTGCGTTCAGATGTAATGAAAGACGAATTTGGAAGAACCGCAGCCTGAAAATGGGAACCAAGCTGCTTGTTTATCGCTCAGTGGTGCTGCCTAAACTGTTGTACGGCAGTGAAACCTGGACATTTTATTCACGGAATGTGTGATATCTCAGCAGTTCTCATCTGCAACATCCAAGACGTACTTTGCGTAATCGATGGTCGGACAGGATTCCGAACACTGAGGTACTACGGTGGGCGCAGACGGGCGGGATGGAAGCAATACTGATACCCAATCAATTTCGTTGGCTAGTACACGTTCGTAGGATGGGCGACGAACGGACGCCGAAGCAGCTGCTATAGGAGCAAGTGAAACCAGGTAAGCGAAATTCTGGTAGTCGAAAATAGAGATACCAGGGTGTTATCCAAGTAACTCTTTCGAGTTGTCATCAATTCCAAATCTAAATAGAACTCAGTCTTGGATCCGACGGTCTAGAGGAATACGATGCGGACGCGGGTTCGAAAGTTCAATGAGTGACAACTACGCGGTCCTGGACTGAAGCGCGTGGTTTGCAAAGAAACTACAGGTGTCATAAGTCGTGATGACACGACCGCGATGAATGCGGGCGCCAGTGCGGTGACCGCCTGGGATTATTAGGTCACCGACGCATACTTAATACACCGTCAGTGAAGAGACGCCGAGTGCGCCAGGTGAAAGTAAGTTATGTCTGCTATATCCGTCTCGTTGTTGCTCGTATTAACCAAAGTCTGCCGTCGTTTGTTGAGTATCCAGTTCTCTTTTTCAGAAAGTTGGACCATGGTGGCCTTCTACTTTTTTGTTTTTAAGCCTTGGTATGATGAATCTTTTGTTCGTTTTTTCGACCCAACTCTAAACTTTTGCTTTCTTCTCAATCCTGCCTAGAGTGCAATAATACGTAATTCTATGCTGCCTATAATTTCGATACCTTTCATCCCAGCTTAGTTCTTACTAATGAAACCTTTCCAATTTTTCTCCCAAGAGAAAGGGGTTTCATTTTCATACAAGCCTACCAACTGGCTAACCAGCACTGGCCGACTGGACACAAAGGTCCTCACTCACGCCTCCTGGTCTTGATCCTTCGGGCTTACACTGAAGTGGGGAAGCGCAAGCCACTTGTGGTGAGTACAATACGCAGGCGTCCTTAGGCTTCCGTTACTGTGACAAGCCAACCAGAAATGGGTGTTTTCAACAGGTTTATCTTAGTAAAATACACATCCGTTACTGTAACAGAGTAATTATGAGTAGCAACAGCCTTCTTAACACAACACGGTGACATCCAGTCCCAAAACGTCTGGTAGTGCAACTGACATAACTGGTTCAATGAGAAATGATAGAAAATAAACGGAAAATGTCTGTAGAAATAAGCATTAAACTTTACAGCCAAGACCAATGTCAGAGTAGTGTTGAATTGTGCACTTTCTCTTGTTTTTAACTAACGACAATTAAAAGTCTTCTGTTAATTGCTTCACGTAACGTATCACGATTCAAATGTAAAACGATGAACACTCTTGTTTAACGTTACATACAATGCCTGTATGGAAATCGCTAATTTTACCGATCAGTTGAAGGTAAGCAAGCTGAACCAAACTAGCCCTCAAATCACATCCACACGTCTGCGCTCCTGCCGATAAAACGAATCGGACTTGGTATTGTTTACTGTTCAACCATGCGACATATATGATAGTCCTACGATCACATTCCTATTGAATATTGATGTTGCACAGGTGTTTATAAACGTAGGCATGAACCATAACACGTCTGCAAAACGATTTTGCATACATATTACCACGTTGGAGGAGGACCCTAGTAGTGAAACAACGCTACTACAGCTGACACGTTGACCAATTCAGTTTTCTCTTTCAGGAGTCCAACGCTGAACTGAAGCATTCACGTGGAGGTATCAGTGCATCCAGAAAAATCAGTTAGCTGTTGAGTTCCGGTTTTAATGTGAATGACATATGTCGGTTGATCGAGCCAGCTGTTCGATCAGATACTTAACAGAATGTGGACTCTACAAGCGTGGCACAGTAGCGAAGTTTTCACATTTCTGTCACAGTTGAAGCCATCAAAATTCGGCTGTAAAATACATTCGAAAAAAATAGTTCACCAAGGATTTGATATCAGCTTGGCTTTGGAATTGTACCGCATTCTAAGTAATACAATTTCAATGCACAACAGCGGTGTTAGTGGATTCCAGCGTGAACTGATCGAGAAATCCTGCTTGGGCAGTCAACCCGCTGGATCATTTGGTGGATTCTACATGATAGTAGATTGGACGGGTAACCGGGTCAAAATGTGAGATATCTGAGTTCCTGAAGTGGCTTCTTAGCTCAGGTGGTAGAGCAATTGTCGCATTTGGCATGCTGTTTCTGTCGCTGGTTCGGATCCAGCCGAAGCCCTGATTTTTCACAACTAGGTTTCCTCTAATTTTGGCTTGTGTCTTGGCCGTTGCATAATATTGATTTAGCACACATAGTAATCATGCTGTTTTTACAATTTCAAAACAACTTGTATGCAACCTGTAATTTGTTTTACTCCTAACACAGCTCTAGAATTGTTCTACGTTTAGCAGGACAATTACTGCTTCGGTCAAGTTTGGTGAACATGTGAAACAGTAAGATCATTAACTTCCGTTTATCGCATGCTAACGTCTTCGGTTAACTTACATAGAAGGATCTCATGAAGGCGGAGCAGAGCTCCGTATGACAACCTACGCATCGACTCACAAGTCGGTATTACGGGATCAGTTGCGTACATCCAGAACCTATTCACAAAGCGGACCGGTATTACAACTGGAATACAAAATCGAGGTGAAATGAACCAAACAGCCTGTGTACCTTTTAATCCGCTGAGAAATATTGAGAAAACCTTCTTGCTCTATCATCACGTCGGCCTCATCCAGGACAAACACAGTGAGTTTAGACGGGTCCAAACATACAGGACCGGTACCGCGCACCCAGTTCATCACGGTGCCGGGAGTACCAACCACAATTTGAGCCGTTACGTAGCGATCGGGGCCAACGGGAGCTAAACATGAGTGGAAATAAAACGGATGGATTAAATCAAGCTTGTGTCGATGGATCGGTCAGTTCATATATACGTTACTTTTAGCGCTTGTGACATATCGGTTGGGTCAGTACCATACAAATCGTAAAAGAGAATAGTCGTATCCTCAGTCACTGTGCAGCAAAACACAGCTGACCTCATGTTACAATAGTTATAGGTGGGTAAGTATACCTTCTACCAGATCGGTTGTGCAACAGATGATCGGGAGCACGGTGCCTGTGAGACCATCGTTAACTGCACCAACTCGCTGAAGATAAGTGAGCTGAAACAAACCAACTCGCTGAAGATAAGTGAGCTGAAACAAACCAACCCTCGAATCGTATTCACACGTCTGCGTCTCTGTCGATAAAAACGAGTCAGACTTGGTAATGTTTACCTCTCAACCATATATGACACAGGACAGTTCTACTGTAACAATCCCGTTGCAGTCCGCCTAACGTGGATGAATAAATGGCTACCCGTTTTTGGTACTTTCGAGGAAGAATCAAGAGTGATTTCGTAACGTGGCCAGAAGCCCTCGAGGCGAATGGGAAAGGTGTCTGTCTGTTTCATCCGTACGTCGTTAATGCTTCAACAGTCAAAAAAACTCGAGATCATCAGATTAAAAGCGATGTTGTGGGCTCGATTCACTCAAAAACAGGACATCACTCGATTTACCTGAGAAGAGCGTGGAACATAAGTGACCTATGAAGCAGAATGTAGCATGGACCATAGATCAATCAGGATTACGTCGTTTATTCGAAGCAGCAATCTTGTTTGTTGTAGATCAGCTGACCAGAGACGAGAGATTAACCGACTGGCCAACTAATCAACAAGGACGATAATTCACCATGCAATCAACGCTCGTCTCATTGACGATGTCCCATGCACATTCATCTATTGAGCTGTCCGTCACTCTGAATCACTCAAGCGAACGATTCGACACCCAAGGTATTACACTACTTTGCAGTGATAAGGTCGGATTACAGAAGGGAAAGATCGACAGATACAAAATTGCGCCAGCCACCGGCAGTACTGAGTTCGATGATGCCCCTAAGTCGATGTTCGCACCAAGAAAGTAGTGATAAACAGCGACGCTTTGTTTGGGGTGTGAAGTAAACACCTATGCAGCCTGCTGAATCTACTGAACACAACAGATCGATCAATTATGAATAGCCTGTATTCCATACCAGTCAATTACCTAAGTCTTATCCTACGTTTAAAAGGGGTGCAGAGGGCAATCAGACAACTCTAAAACAGAAAGGCGACTAAGGGAAACAGATCACCACCATAACGCTTCCAGAGTATAGATTTGCCAGTAGAGAGCTCATCACTACATTTAAAACAAGAACAAGTCTCAGAAATGCTCTGCAAATCTTGATTAGGTCCATGTTAAGAATGCAAGAGGAGTAAGTAGATATGGAGCTGCATAAACGGAGTCCTCGCAAGGTGTCGGAGTTAAGTGTGTCTGGAGAACGGCGCAGGTCCGCGTCTGGTCACAGGACGAACAACGCAGCTTTGGCTGTGTCAGATCCAAGTGGTACCACAGAAGCGATCAGCCTTCATACATTCTCTTTGCAGACCTCAGTAAAGCGAGTAACTGAGCTAACACTGACATTTTAGACAAAGCATGAAAACATGGAGGCAAAGAGTAGTCACGTAGTTCGACATGACGATTTTGCCACCTGAAGGAATCAAGACGGCTTCAATAATATATGGTTTTTGCTCGACTACAAAATGCTTGGTCCCCCAATTAAAACTCGGAAAACGGTGTCCAATACAAGTATCAGGTTGGTAGCCCGCTGAACACGTCTCGGAGAGAGAAACAGGTTGCGACATTCGACCATCAATGTTACTGTTAGCAGATAATCGTATAAAAAATACGCCATCAGCGCACGGTAGAGGAAGAACCGTAAAGGATGACCATGTCTCCTGTACGTGACGGTCAAATTCGGGCTGCTTATAACGAGTAATACGCTCTTTCTTTTAGCCTACCTTAAGCCGAAATACCACATGAACGCCTCAGAATCGTACCAGCAAAGACGATGTTGACCTCTGCACACGAATTATGTAACCTGGGCAGTATACGTTCTTCGGACCTGCTACCAGAGCATGAGCTGCAAGCCTGCGTAGTCAAAGTTAGCAGTGCATTCAGAACCACTGAAAAGCGCACCTGGAAATACCGTAGCCTAAAGACTGAAGTGAAGCTGCCCACCTATGGCGCGACTGTGTTGTCCACTTTCTTGCTTGACAAGCAAACGGTGATAACATAACAAACGACGTTGGACAACTGAACCGCTTTACTCAAGGGTAGTCCGTGAATCGGATGACAACGTAGTTTTTAACACCCATGTACTTCGCCAGGAAAACAATGATGGAGTCGAAGTCACGTTGATGCCCAACGGATTACGATGGCTGAAACACGTAGGCAGAGTAGGTGAAAACGGATCCGGAAGAAGGTGCTGTACGAAAATCCATGTGCGGGAAAACGAAATTCTAGTCGCCAAAGGCTGTGTGGGACTAAGACATTAATCAGGTAAGCAATTAACGTTCCGACATCGGCCTATCTTCGTGGAATAGTATAACGCTGGATCGGACCGCGTGGAATAATATGACAGAAAGCTGACCCACGGTCGCAGGCACGATATGACAACAAAACATAGACCAAAAACAATTAATGATAACCAGAAACAATGTTTAAAACACGAAAATAAACAGCGCACACTAAAGTGGTTACGATTTTGAGCTGTCTGACAACACCACAGTCAAAGATGTCGGACGTAGCGATAAAAATCAAAAACGCTCCAACCTTCATGCTCCGAACCCAGATTGCACAAGGTCTATCAGTCTGACATTTTCAGTCTAACTTGCGCAAACAAAGTAGAGCGTGACAAGAAATAAGTTGGCTAAGTGCTATCTGTCCAAGTCAATGAAGTCCGTGGAGCATGCAGAAAACTGTCAGTGAGCGATGGAATTTGCCTGCCTCAACATACATTAGTGAACCTGTTAAAAGGGCTGCATAAAACACCATGATATGTTTACAGAGAACAGTGATCGAATACAAACAACCTCTGAACATCTTCGCACCGATTAGTCAAATTTCGCAATCAACCAGTTGCAGTACACACTCGGTCTTCCACACAGAAAGATTGATTAAATCAGCGTCACGGATGGCATAAGCTGGCAAATCTCACCATAGCTTCAACATCGCAACCAACGATCTATCTAGGCAGTTTACCAATGTCGAACATGTGAACGTCATCTGAGAAATTGTTGTTTTCAATTTCCATGGTAACTTTGACAGTGTTGAAAATATTACAAGGATACACACGAGCCATCCAAAATCTTCAACGATATGAAGTTTCAAGTTGAAGATCACTCACATTTAATCGCAACTCTTGCATCCATATAAAATTTTCAGCCAGCCTCTTTCAGAGAGCACTAGACTCGAGATTCGCTCTTGTTAGAACTCACCGGTAGTGCATATTCTTGCCAAGGTCGAGATCAGAACTGCGACCATGCTTTCAAGAGGAAAGTGTGCTGATAACTACGCCATTGACCTCACGTTAGGCACGACCAAATTACCACATTTGAACGCTCAACCACCTTCGCGTGTGAGTAATGAAGTTTGTCATGGGGATTTAAAACGATAACAAACTGCCCTTCTTGGAGGCACTAGTAGGCCGAAAGTCTGATGAAATGTTGGAGACATCAGTGTATCGGAAACAAACACATACGGACCAACTCCACAGCTTTCACAGTTACCGCCCAAACTGCCACAAAAGTAGCTGCATCCACAATTTGGAAGAGCAGAAACAGAATGCAACAACGCAGAACCCGGAAAGAAGAGAGAGCATTCCTACGCCTATGACAAAAAGGCACCATGGTAGCATATAAAATCAACCGTAACTATATGAGGAATATTATCAAAACCAAAAGAAAATCTCAAATCCACCGATAAAGGGAACGCAATATACTAAATCAAATGCCATGATTGTGAAAAGCATTACATAGGTCAAATCGGACGAAATATATACATAAGCAGGTATATGAACACGAATTAACCAAGAGAAGCTATCAGTACTCGTTGGTCTCTATCTATGAGGACCAGAATGGACACATCCAACACGGGCACTTTGGAAGTCCTTGCCCAGGCAAACATCAGACATGGAACACAATATGCGGCAGCCGGGTGTTCATCATACAGCCCAACAAATAAACATATAAAACTGGATAAAAATCAATGAACCGCTGCAAGGGAACGATGTCAGGAGATGTGAACGCAACCGTTATCGAATACCAATGCCTCACTAAACAGACGAACATGGAAAAAGCAACAATACGTAAACATGTC